AGTACAATCCGAATATATGGATATTGTATTGATATTGTGTCTCTTTCTTTGTGGTCTCATGATCTACGGAGGGTGCCATGCAAAAGTAACAGTTGGTAAGATGATCAGTTGGTTTCCTTCAAATCACGGGCACAGCAAATGGAATGGCTCGTCATTTGCCATGTAACGAGCAAGAAAACCCTGCACTACAAAAAGAACAACAAATGTGAGGACCCCCGGGTTGTTCTTGATCTCCCAACTTACAACTAAATTACAAATGGTAAGCTTTCTTGATCAATGATGTGATCTTTGACCATATAAACTGATAGACTTGTCGTAAGTAAAATATTTTGAAGCCAACATCATTTAGCGCGTGACGTCACGTTTGGGCAAAACAAAGCGCGATAAAAACGGAATAAACCTTTAAGAATAGAAAAAGTTTTGTTAAATATAAAATTTTGTAGCAAAACATTATTATTTTTAAAAATATTATTAAATTTATTATTTGTATCAATTATTATTTCAATGCATTGTTAGATTTCTTAGAATAGAAAACGTAACAGCTAACACAATTTTATGTGTTTTATTATGGATTACATTGATATACAAACAACTTTTCATTGATTCAAAAATAAAACTTGTTTTTTTAATAGTATTAACTTGCTAAAAAAGTACTGTAAGTGTTGTGACTTGCTATAAAAAAAAGGTACTGCAAGTGTTGTGACTTGTTAAAAAAGTACTGCAAGTGTTGTGACTTGCTAAAAAAAGTACTGCAAGTGTTGTGACTTGCTAAAAAAAAGTACTGCAAGTGTTGTGACTTGCTATGCATTTTTGATAGACGGCTCTGGCTTACCTTCACGTGGTGTCTATTGTTAAAAATGATTATAAAATAATTTCATTAGTGAAATTTATCATTGTAATTATTCACTAAAAGCCAAGACAAAACTTTATGAAATATCAGAAGAATCATTAAAATAATCAAACATTATTTAGTGTTAATAACATTTTGTTTTTTTTTTAATTTGAGACAGACAAACTTTAAATTAACCAAACTACTATCAAGCACTATATGAAAGATTTGAAGATGGATGCAACACTAATGTAACTTTTAAAGAGTAAGATATGTTTTTTACTTCTTTGTTATTGTACTTTAAATAACCAGTCAGATATTTCTTAATTAAAATTTTGTTTTCCAGTATTAATTTATAGAACCTTTTTTATATAGACAAAAACTTTTTTTGGGATTTAAATAAACATGTTTATTTTTTTTTAGGTCGGGGGGAGGGGGTATACGCCCCCTCCACCCATACATCGATGTAAACACCACTTGTATACGAAAATTCTTGTAGAACATAATTTTATATTGCATACTAATTGAAATCATTTTTGTAAAGATAAAAATATTTATGAAAACAAATCATATTTGATGCTAGGGTGTATTAAACCATCACCACCACACCCACCTCTATCATTTAAATACGCCTCTTATATACTTTGGTGGTTAAATAAATTTATATCAACTTTTTAGTATATTTAAACTGCTAATGTCTTGAAAAAGATCTTTTTTCTGAAAAAAATGTTCAGTTTCATACGGGTAAGGTGGTGGTTTGATGCTCCCCTCTGTCCATCCGAGTGGTTGATGCTCCCCTCTTACACCTATCTTTTGACACCAAGATATTTGTATTTTGATAAGAATTGACAAAGTTATGACAATTTAAGTGAAGAAAAACATAATTTTGACCACAGTTTCTTCAACAATTCCATATATCGAAAAATCTATAAATCTGTACTTAAACCGTCATAACTTTTGAACCAATTGTTTGATTTTGATAATTTTTTCACCTTTAAAATACTGTATTGATCCTCTTTCCAATGATATATAACAGTAAGATATTTAAATAATTTGAAATATTTACTCACGCACCTATTAATACACTTTGTATACGTTTATTATATAGTAAATTGTTGATCGAGTCAGCTTTGTGATGCAATCCCATCTTTAAATATTTAGCTATAATAATTTTATAATTTCTGCACGACTTTCATAAACAAATTGTAGACAACACTCAACAATATTAGCTTTTTCACAACCACCTAAACCATCAATTTAAAAATATTTAACAAGAAGTTTCCAACGTCCATTTTGACAGTTTACCTTAAAAAATCTAAAGCGTCTTTTGTTTTGGGTAAACTATCATTATTAATATCAGCACCAAAATCAATATAATCAGAAAATTTATGGCCTGTCAATTCAATTTCTTTTCATATAGCCATTTCATCTAACATCTACAAACACACAAGACATTGACCAATTTTTTTAGCCTCTTTTACTTTGCTATGAAAAGTACCTAAAGCTTCTTTACATAATCCAGGGGAAATGTCAACACTTTCATACCATTTTTGTATAGTTCGTGATTAAGAAAGTGCATTATTGAATGTTTTTTTTTAACATAACTATATGCTTTAGCAGAACAAAAATTTAATATTAAAGCAAAGCTTCGTAATTCTCCTGGGTTATACT